CTCACAAGGCCGGCTCCATATGTAAATACTCTCTGTATGTATAGTTTTAAAGCTTGAGGCATTTCTCATCCTACACAGAGAATATTATTTTACTGATTTTAGGTTTATAAAGAAAAATAGAAAACAATTTAAACTAGACAGGTTGATGTTCTTTGATAGGGCAGAAGACTTTCTAAATGGCTAATTGGTTTCCCTGAGGAGACGCACTTAAACAGAAAACATGGAGTCTAGCTCAATTAACAATTAGAGAAACATATATTTCTTTCCTTCCTACCTACCTTCTGTACTTTTATTCAATTTAAAGGCCTTTTCCACATTATGAAAAGTTTTTGTAAACATTTAAATTCTATTATACTAAAAATTTAATCACATTGCTTTCTTTACAGACAAAATAACATCAGGCATTTCTCTTTAGAGAGTTTAGAAATACAACTTTAGGCTCTATTATTGGAAATCTGCCCAGGAGGCCTTTTCATTTAATTTGCTTCCTGTTTGTTCTGAGCTGTGCTCCACAGACACGATCCTTTATAAAAGCTGATGATATAAATTCAAACTGCACCTCAGCATCTGCAGAGAGAGAAAGAGGATGATAAGATGGACCCCGGGAATCATGTCATTAATCATCTTGCAGGTTGCATCTTAAATAAAGCATTTCTCCTAAAGTGCGAGAAGCTGATATCTAATTTTGTGATGCTTCATATATCATCTAATGTGGCCACGCTGTAAGAAAGCTAGAGGATAGCCAAGGCAATAATGACTGAGACATGGCTTGGTGCTTATTTGTTCATTTTTTTCTAAAGTATGGTTGGATTTCTTCTAATTTGGGAAAGAATGTACTTGTCAAATCAATAGTCTTATTTTAAGAGTCGTATTGTAAAATGGTGACCTTTAAAATAAATGCCTACAATTGGTCATCTCAACCAAATGATAAGGACTTGATTCTTCTTTAATAAAATTACAGGCAACCAATTCGTCACTGCGGTCTGCCGGTTAATGTAGTCTCAGTATGAATGCTCCTCTCTTGATTTATTGAAGAGCATAATGAAAAACAAGGACCAGAATAAAGCTGCTGATCATTCTGAAACCCTATTAAGACATGGCTGTCCTCAAAACAAGCATTTTGTCAGAATTGGCTGATAGGTGGTAACAGTGATAGTTGGGAGGTTTCGATGACACCATGAACTTTCTGATTATAGACTTTTCAAATTGAATCTCCTACTGTAGCTCCTGTTCCTAGCTCCCAATTCTTCATATTTTAAAGGGGGCAACAGTAAGAGCACTATTGCACTAGGAGAGGAACTCCGGAATACTGTACTGAAGCTGAACACCCTTTGCCCTTCTAGACTTCATTGTGGGACAGAATGCAGATCGATGATTCTTGTCAAATTAGGACTAGATTCTGAAAATACAAAAAAGAATTACAAAGCTACTGAAAGATAGTGAACAGCAAGAGCTATCAAGTTTAAAAACCCAAAACATATGAGGCCCTGACCCCAAGTACTCATTTGTCTGAGTATTTGGGAAGAAATAATGTACTTTTTTTTTTTTTTTTTTTTTTTTTAAATGTGCAGATTTTGGAGATTGTAGGCAAACTTAAACGGCTGAGATGGTGGACAAGAATATTGTAAGCTCCCTTTGCTAAATAATGTATTGAGAGAAAGCATCCTGCTTCCACTTTTTCTCTATTCAAACACCTATTTTCATGGTGACTGATGATGCACTTCTGCTTTGGCTTAAAAGTCCTGACCCTGATTTGGGCCTTGCTGCAAGTACGTCAATGTTGTGCCAGTTCAAACCCCAAGGTTGAATAAAAAGTGAACTAGCTCACGTTCATGGTTCACTTAAAAATAAATGAACTAAGTTCTCAGATCTATAAATGAACTACTTCAAGTTCATTTGGTAAATTAAGCCACAATACTACACAGAACCTCATATTTCACCTTTTGAATGTGTGATCATAATATATGGAATGAAATGGAAAATACTTGATGCGTTTCAGTTATACAGGATGTGCAGTGAAGCCTTTATTTAGCCAGATTACACAGAGCTTCAGAACCATACAGGAACATTCAGGTTCTGCTGAAAAGATCTGTATCAGAAATGATTTCTTACATTCCTTATTCAGTAACAGATATTTCCCTAGATAGCTCGGATGCTTTAACTCGATGTGTCGCTTTGAATTTGAAGTGGACGTGGCAGACATACGGACTGGTTTGCTAAGTCCCGGTGGGCACAGTTTGCACAAATATATGAGTTTTTTTTCTATCCAAGTTAGTGTATAAAACTCTGCTAAGTGCTCTGCAAAACTGGCATCAGAAATACCAGCAGATGAGTCTGAATCATGCATACCAGCACTAGCAGTAGACATGCTAGTCTTATATTCTGTTTCTATGAGTGCCGTAAAAACTGACATTATCCAGTGAAGTGTCGTTATCAATTGAATGCGAATGTGAGCTTTGTGTGTTGCTGATTGTTCTCAGAGTGAACGTCGATCTTGTTCATGTTCATTACTTCAAAACTGGTCAGTTCAGTTTACTGTTAACTACAAATATTAATATATTTTGTAAAAAGCATTAATTGAACGCATTCATGCACAACACTGAGGAAGGTGATAGAGCGTAACAATGCTTTTCACCAGTCAAGGTTGGTGGGGAAGCTGCTAACCAACCTGAAACTTTTGTGGAGGTTTGTACTCCAGCAGAAAAAGTACCTCAAAAGTAGTGCAACCATGTTATCGTATTGCATCTGTAAACTTGTCTCTCCTTTAGTCTTTGATTCTCGTTCCTGCAGGTAATCCTTAGCTTTTGAAGATACTCCTGTATTCTCCATGATGAACACAAGCTCATCTCATATGTTCCCTGAATCCCTTCTTAAATCCATAAGACCTTGTTTAGATTGCCATGCTTTGCAGAACCAATAGAAATGTTTTTTTAAATCCAGTTTTCAAATAGAGAGAGGGACATTGTATTTCCAGGTCATTTTAACCTTGTGAGCTACACTGAGTTTTTGTTTGCCAGGATAATCACCGACTCACATGTCACACAATACAGCTACGGCTAAACCCCTGTTTGGCTCTTAAGTGCTCTCCTTGCTGTCTCCCACTGGCATTTCTGTCATTATTGACAGACCTCAATCGTCTTCCATAAAAACTCACCAGGCTTGTTGTCTTTCCAGTGTTGTTTTGTTTCAAAGACAGAGACAACTGAGACACTTAAAAGTGGCTCTGCGTGCCAGAAAGACCAAGCTGCTTGTTCTGAACAATTTGTCCTCTTGACTTTATTTTCAAACTTAGTTGTGGTCTGTTGGGAATTCATGTGTCAGAAGCGAGTAACTATGCAGTTAGTCTCAGAAGCCTGAAGAATATTTTCTTCCCTCTGGCTTTGCTTGTAGATGGGTAGTATCCTCACAGGTGGATTTTCTAGGAACTTTAGGTACGCCGCACCGTTTGATTGAGAAATATGGGGGCTGGGAGTCATTTTTACATCCAGAGAGAGTTCACTTGGAGTTTATTGGCTGTTTTCATAAACTATCTAAGAACTGCTGTCATGGCCACATTTATTTTAATGTCCCTGTTATGCGTTTGATGCTACAACTCTGCTGTTGGTTAATGAGAAGGGGACCCATTTGAACAGTAGGAGGTGGCTGCTAAATTAAAGCTTTTGAGTCTTTACAAAACGCTGAAGCACCAGATAGCTTTATCAGTCCTTGTTTGGTGAATATGAACAGATATTCCCTAGTTTTCTCACTATTGTTCATATCTTAACCAGACTGAAGACATTAAATACGACATAAGGGGTTTGAACATGCACAGGAAAGAAAGCTGCACACAGTCACAGACTGGCAGCGTTTCTGTATATCTAGTGGAGCGTGCTAACCTACTGTTTTTACTCCTTTTTTTCTGTTTCATTGCACAAAATAGCTGCTGCTATCATCAAGGTCCTTAGGTTTTGTTTTGAAACTCCTTAGAGTAGGGTCCCCATAATCCCTTGATGATTTTGTATCACATGGTCTGGGAAATGCTTTTTTTTACGTGAATAAAATGAACTCATATACTATCCAGACAACCCATCAATCAATGCAATATATAGACTGAAAATGTAGATAAAGCTAAACAAAAAACAAAGATAATAGACATTTTAAGATACATTTTACTAGATAGGAAAGTATTAAACCTTCCAGTGTTTTTCAATGTATGTTTTAGCATTTTGAAACATTAATTTATTATTTAACTAATGGAATAAACATAATATATTTTGAGCTTGAAAGTTTTGCAGACTGGAAACTAAACATCACTTCTTCAACAACTTGTGAGCTTTTTTTAAAGCACTTTTTTTTTAAAGCAGTCTTGTTTTTCTGCATCTGCATCAGATTTATCCTCCGATCTTCATGTTCCTACTGGTGTCTCTACACGCTGCCATTGCGCTCTTTGTTCCTCTTCCTTTGGGTGTGTGCCGGTGTGTGAGTGTGTGTGTGTGTGGATGGGAATGCATTCCAAGAGAGCATTTTGAGGATGGGTTGGATCTCTCGGTCTACTCCCCCACCCCATCTTCCTTTTTGTGATGAGAGCTTTTCGTGTGTATCTGTCAGAAGCAATGTTTGATATTCTTTAGTGTAGAGCTGGTATTGCGCGAGGATGTATATATCTGTGTGTGTATTTTTGTAAATGTTATGCAAATGAAGAGAGAATGACAGGAGTGTGAGAGTTTGGTGTGTGAGGGAGTACAGAGTACAGCGTCTTTTGCATGTTTGTTGCATACCTCTGTAGGTGTATGCTGTGCAGAACCTCCCCTCTTATGAGCAACTCCAGGGACTCACATGTTCATTATTCTTCCTAAAAGAACCATTAAAATTTCATCAGTGCAATGCAATCTGTAGCAGGGCGGGGGGTAGGAGTGTGCTCGCCACTGTATCTGTGCAGGAGAAAGGGAGAGAGGGAGAGAGAGAGACACTCAGCAGTGTGAGGGGAGGGCAATTGCATCCTCCACTCATTCACCGCTGCCTGCCTTCATGCCTCTCTCCTCCTCCGCCTTTCCTTCTTCTTCATATTCCTCTGTGGTGGCTCGATCCCCTCGCTGAGCACTCGCCGATTCCTCAGATTATGACTTTTTTTAACGATGTGAGCCACTAGCATCCCTCCCTTCCCTAAACTCGTTCTGCTCCTGCCTCTCCTTGTTTTGCTTCTCACACATCGCTGGAGGAGACTCTCCTCACCATCCACGATGATGTGGAGCTAACTACCAGGTGGAAAGTGTTAACAAGGAGCTTTTTTTTCTGATTCCTGTCGGGAACTGAAAGGTTGGAACGTACTGACATTGAGTTGGATTCAGAGTGGAATATTGTTTTAACATAAATTATCCTTTTAAAGACGTCTATGGGAGTTGAAGGTGAGGACCATCGTTTTTAAGCTTCTAACTTGTTGCTGACCCCAAATTGTGCAACATTTTTTAAACTTTTATCTGCTGATTTTGCTTTATTATTGTTTGTGTTTATTTGATCTTGCAAGTTTAAAACCTCATTAAATCTGCTCTTTTTGCTGAAATTATCAGAAAGTTAGAAAAAAGCATACGGTAGGTAAACTGGGGCTTTCCTCCACACCCGCTCCACTCTCCCATTCCTGTCTGTTGGGTTCAGGATAAAATATAATACTAGATTTAAAGAATTAGGTAATTTGAAAAAAAAAAACAGGAAAAGTCTTTTCTCCCTTTTTTCTGTTTTACTGATTCATATAAACAGTTTTATGTTGAAAATTTCCATCTAGATATAAGCTGTGTTCACATAGGAAATTGCATCCATCCATCCATCCAACCATCTGTCCGTCCATCCATCTATCCATCCATCCGTCCATCCATCCATCCATCCATCCATCCATCCAACCATCCGTCCAACCGTCAGTCCATCCATCCAACCATCCGTCCGTCCAACCATCAGTCCGTCCATCCATCCATCCATACGTCCATCCATCCATTCATCCATCCAACCATCTATCCATCCAACCGTCCGTCCGTTCATCCCTCCATCCATCCAACCATCAATCCAACCATTCATCCATCCGTCCATTCATCCATCCAACCATCTATCCATCCAACCGTCCATCCATCCATCCAACTGTCCGTCCGTCCGTCCGTCCATCCATCCATCCATCCATCCATCCATCCATCCATCCATCCATCCATCCATCCATCCATCCATCCATCCATCCATCCATCCATCCATCCCATTGTATCTAGTTTTTGACTTTCCTTAATCTAACCTGGTCCATATTTCCAAAAGCCATGTGTTTATTTAGTAAAGTAAAGTTTTTCAGTCCAGGTTGGATTATTTAAAGCACTTCCTGCTTTTATCCAAAGATGACCTGTCACTCGGATGCATTCAAAAACCTCTAAAACAAACCCTTTATTTCACCACCCGAAAAAGTCCTTCGAAGCGGAAGCTAACTTTAGCATCACCAGTAGTTAACTCTAGGAAAATCACTGTATTCTTAAAGCGTCCCTGTTTCCTCACTCTGTTTAGGTTTCTACTTGGTATCCCAAACAACCTGCCAGATTTATTTAGGCCTTTTTTATATTGTCTTTCATTTTCCCCACAATCTGGAAGTACGGGTAAGGTAAACTCTGAGGGGATAGCTTTCTACTTTCCTACTTGTGCACAATTTAATGCTTCATTTTTTTCAATCACCACTGTGGCCCCTGTTACAACAATAACAGCAGAGCACTGATCTTTGCTGTATTTTGTGCATAAAGAGAGCGCTGATGCATTAAATGCTAGGTTTACTATTGACTAAAGTTGCATATTAATGACAATGAACTGCAACAAAATCTTTCAAGATAGAAATATTTAACCATCATGGATGTGAGTTTCAGCCATATTTAATTCCTATGACAGGTGTGGTCCTGTAGCTCTACATCTTGATTTGTAATTCCAACTTACCGTTAAATTTCTTAGAAGTCAAAATTTTTTTTCGAGTATAAATAAAATGCACCTGTTGGCTGACTAAGTCTAGCATGGATACGTTTTCCTCCTTTACTGTCACTACTTGTGGGTAGTAACACTGTTTTTGGTTCCTATTTTAAATTATGTTAGAGGATATGTGGTAATGATAAAATAGGCTAAAGATTTGGGAGAATATAAGGCCTGAAAAATGCTAAACATACTCCTAAACATTTGTAGCAATTTTTTTTTCCTACTGTTGAACTTTTCCTCTCAGTCACTAACTTATTCAGCATCTATTTGAAGTTTATTCGAAACTGAACAAAAAAGACATAGAAACCCATATTTAAAGATATTACTTTTGTTGAGGTTTTAGCACAAAACAGCGTGTAAGCCTTTGAAAAGTAGGACCTCTCTATAATTTTCCTTAACAATCTTACAAAAATGGTCCGTAAATGGGGGAATGGCTGAACTTACTGTAGTATGAATCGCTTTCGAGTGTCCTGACTGGAAAAGACGCTATAAATAAAAAGGCCAAAAACCTGAAAGAGTGGCAGAGGAGCACTTTCTTCAAAATAACAGGACGATTGAATTCTACTTCATTTTTTTTAACTTCAAATTAAGTTTGAAACACTGTCTGATATAATTACAAGTATGTACAGAATAATATGGATTAAATTTGCTTACAAATTCACATGCATACAGCAAAGCTTCAAAGGACACATCTCCAATAACAATATGTATTCTGCCATTTTAATAAACGGCGAATTGTCTCATTAGACTTCGACTATCTGTCTGTTGCTTTATATTGCCAGCGTAGGCTTCCTCTCTCAGGTAGATCTGATGGTGCTAATTGGGTTTCCCAGTCAGCCGTTGTTTTCTGAGCCACAGATGAAATACTTGAGGACGAAATTAGAGTGTGGGGTTTAAGCTGAAAGCTGTTAGCGTGTGTGTCTGGACTTGAGTGCAAGGACTTGTGTCTAGAACCTCTTTGCATGTGTGTGAGTGTATGTGTTAGTAGCAGGCCCATCTGTGGAGGTCTTGTGATGGGTGGTGAGTGATGGAGGGTGTGAGGTGTGTGTGAAGGAGAGGGAGGGAGGGTGGCGGGTGGAGGCAGAGTAACTGGTCCCCCATCTTCCCCCCTAACTGAGTGTGCAAAGGGGAGAGAAGAGAGGTGGTACGGCAGTACATCACTGGCTCTGCTAATGGAATGCCGCGGACTTGAAGGGTCCTCACTAGTAATTCTTTCAGCTCTCCCACCACATCTTCTTCAAGGGATAGTGTTTTTATACAGGCAGGGCACTGGAGTTATACGTCGAGATAAAAATAAAAACCAATAGTGCGTTTTTTTTTAGCCCTTCCTTCTTGCAGCTATAGTCAGATTCCTGTTACTTGTATGAACACATGCCAAGATTCTATAAAGTTCCCAGAAATTTCTCCTAGATATGAGTGTTTGGATGCATCGTTGTTTATCCAGGGTGTCTCTATGTAAGTTTGTGATAGAATAGCAAACTGTCCAGGGTGTAACCCCATATGTTGCCTTACCTTGCAAATAAGATAAATTGTTGTGACAGTTGTGAATGCATAAACTCCCAAAGATACTTCTTATCAGAAATGCAGTGATGTGTAACAAAAGACATCACCAGAAGTGGCCGGCTGGAGCAAAACAATGATGGCTATATGCCGGTTCTGGCTCCATTTCCCTCTAAATAAGCAAACGGAGGCAATTTGAGCTTTTTTGGATGGGAGAGATACTTGCACCACCCTCCTGACGACATTTGGTAAGTGTTTAATTCATCAGTTAATGTGATATGGCAAGCTGCTACTGCTGCTGTGATTGGCTAAAGGCACACCATGGAGACAGGTGCCAATTGGTGCGTTACTGTCACTACCTGTGGGTAGTTACACTGTTTATGGTATCTATTTTAAATTATGTGAGAAGATATGTGGTAATGAAAAAATAGGCTCAAAATTTGGGAGAAAGTAAGGCCTGAAAAATGCTAAACATACTCCTAAACATTTGTAGCAATTTTTTGTGTCCTACTGTTGAACTTTTCCTCTCAGTCACTAACTTATTCTGCCTCTATTTGAAGTTTATTCGAAACTGAACAAAAAAGACATAGAAACCCATATTTAAAGATATTACTTTTGTTGAGGTTTTAGCACAAAACAGCGTGTAAGCCTTTGAAAAGTAGGACCTCTCTATAATTTTCCTTAACAATCTTACAAAAATGGTCCGTAAATGGGGGAATGGCTGAACTTACTGTAGTATGAATCGCTTTCGAGTGTCCTGACTGGAAAAGACGCTATAAATAAAAAGGCCAAAAACCTGAAAGAGTGGCAGAGGAGCACTTTCTTCAAAATAACAGGACGATTGAATTCTACTTCATTTTTTTTAACTTCAAATTAAGTTTGAAACACTGTCTGATATAATTACAAGTATGTACAGAATAATATGGATTAAATTTGCTTACAAATTCACATGCATACAGCAAAGCTTCAAAGGACACATCTCCAATAACAATATGTATTCTGCCATTTTAATAAACGGCGAATTGTCTCATTAGACTTCGACTATCTGTCTGTTGCTTTATATTGCCAGCGTAGGCTTCCTCTCTCAGGTAGATCTGATGGTGCTAATTGGGTTTCCCAGTCAGCCGTTGTTTTCTGAGCCACAGATGAAATACTTGAGGACGAAATTAGAGTGTGGGGTTTAAGCTGAAAGCTGTTAGCGTGTGTGTCTGGACTTGAGTGCAAGGACTTGTGTCTAGAACCTCTTTGCATGTGTGTGAGTGTATGTGTTAGTAGCAGGCCCATCTGTGGAGGTCTTGTGATGGGTGGTGAGTGATGGAGGGTGTGAGGTGTGTGTGAAGGAGAGGGAGGGAGGGTGGCGGGTGGAGGCAGAGTAACTGGTCCCCCATCTTCCCCCCTAACTGAGTGTGCAAAGGGGAGAGAAGAGAGGTGGTACGGCAGTACATCACTGGCTCTGCTAATGGAATGCCGCGGACTTGAAGGGTCCTCACTAGTAATTCTTTCAGCTCTCCCACCACATCTTCTTCAAGGGATAGTGTTTTTATACAGGCAGGGCACTGGAGTTATACGTCGAGATAAAAATAAAAACCAATAGTGCGTTTTTTTTTAGCCCTTCCTTCTTGCAGCTATAGTCAGATTCCTGTTACTTGTATGAACACATGCCAAGATTCTATAAAGTTCCCAGAAATTTCTCCTAGATATGAGTGTTTGGATGCATCGTTGTTTATCCAGGGTGTCTCTATGTAAGTTTGTGATAGAATAGCAAACTGTCCAGGGTGTAACCCCATATGTTGCCTTACCTTGCAAATAAGATAAATTGTTGTGACAGTTGTGAATGCATAAACTCCCAAAGATACTTCTTATCAGAAATGCAGTGATGTGTAACAAAAGACATCACCAGAAGTGGCCGGCTGGAGCAAAACAA